GGCAGTCGGATCGCATATGTGTGTACGTATGTATGTATGTACGTATGTACGTATGTACGTATGTACGTATGTACGTATGTACGTATGTACGTATGTACGTATGTACGTATGTACGTACGTACGTACGTATGTATGTATGTATGTATGTATGCATGCATGTATGTATGCATGCATTTTACACATATCTGCATGTGTATGTACGTACGTACATGTCACCTCAGGGTGCACACCACTCTGGTGTGGAGGATTGGGCCAACAGGCGCAAGCTCACCCAAAGAAATGTCCTGCTTCATCTCGACCTCCATGTTGATGAATGGTGGGTACTTCATCTCACCAGGCTTGACCTCAGCTTGCGCACAAATGGCAGATCCAGCTATCATCAAAACAGGCGGATCCAAGTCTTTTGCTAGCACTATGGACAACAAGAACCCGGAAAAAGGACCCATCATCCATGGACGTACTCTGAGCGTCTGAGGACGCTGTACGCTTGGTATTCAGTCACTTGCGGAACAAGGCTCAGTGTTGTAGCCGGGAGTTTTCTGGACGTCTGCTGGTCGCTCAAAGTCAAAGTGCTGCAGAAGCTTCACGAGTGTCACTTTCTGCTCCAGCACGCTGAACCTGGAGCCGAAGCAGGAGAAACCCGAAGGGCAGGCTCCACTAATGCTCCCCAACACAATCCATAGTTTCAGGACCGGCCCAATGTGGCCCATTCCTTCTCCTTGCTGCTCGAGCTGCTCCCTACCCGTACATGCTCGAGGGCCCACTGCAAAGGGAATGAAGGCACACTTCTCTTGTGGCGCCTGTTGCCACCTGGAGCAACGCTTGGGGTTATGGATCAACTTTGGGATTCAAGTTTCTCGTCACCAGGACCCGTGTGCAGCCCTTGCGAATTTCCAAGGGCCAGTCATCGCGGGGATCTATTTACTTGAGGGTGCTAATTAAATCTGCCGTACATTGGTGGACCCTTAGGTTGAGATCTGGCCGCCTTTCAGGCCGAAACACTTCAGCATCTTCGCCCCAAATGCTGGGGTCGTAGTTGATGGCCATGACATTCCTGCGCACTCTCTCCCTGAAGTGTTCTACTCCACACACCCAATGGCTGTTGATAGCAGTGCGGTTATCAGCCCAGAAAACAAACAGAAGGCTAAGCTGCTACCCCAGAAGCACAACAACAGGCGTGCCATCCGGAATGCGCCATTTCTTCCCCAGCAGCTGATCTCCTCGGGCATAGCGGAGGTAGCCTTGAGCCGGCGGCACCAGTCGCAACGTCTCCTTGATGCAGCAGTCTAGGTATGGCATCTGGCCCAGGTGGCTCCACTGAAGCGCATCTCTCCCCAAAACTTCGTCTATCTCTTGTACCAGCTTGGCTTTGCAGTCTGGCTGGGAACAGAGGTAGCACAAGCATGAAGCCATGGCAGCTGCAGTAGAGTCTTGGCCAGCAAAAAGGAAGGTGAGCACATTGTCTGTGACCATATCATGGGTCATCTTGCGACCGCTCTTTGGGTCGCTGTCCAGGAGCCTGGTTCAATGCCCGCTTGCAACCATACATTGATACATGGTCTTTTGCGTTCCTACAGAGTTTCAACCCCTACTGCTAGAGCTAGAAGTGTTCACCTTGCGCATCGCGGAGTTTGGGCTTCCAGCGATCACAAAAACCTAACAGTAACATGTCCATCAAGACTGGTTCAGGGCACATGGCATCAAGCAGATCCTTGCGGGAGTCTTCGGCGGTTCGGCTGGCACGCTGCTCGATCAGCTCCAAGCAGTACTGCCTAAGCCGCCTGCTTTCCCTGCAGAACTCGAATGTTCGGATGGGCATGAAAAAAGGACGCAAGAGGCGCGGACAGCGGCTGAGGGTCATTAGGCCGCGTATGACCTTGTCCAGGCAAACCACAAGTGGTGGCTTCTCAGAGGACTCGAAGCACCCCAAGGACGTGCCCAGACCACACACTGCAATGGTTTCAAGGGCCATCTTGGTTACCCAGGTGTCAATGTAAAGAGAGCCTCCATGGCCCACATCGCGGCGTAAGGCCTTCACAAGCTCATCCGCCTGCTGGCACATCAGAGGCAACATAGACTTGACTCCTCGGGAGGAAAAGGGAGCCCGCAAGATCCGATGGGCGACATACCACTCCGGGTCCTCTGTTCCTGCTATGAATAGGCCGCGCCCGAAGGATTCCAACAGCAAATCCGCACCTGGCGAAAACTTCAGGAAATCCTTGGTGAATCTGTCTGGCTCTCCGTTGCTCACCTCCTCCACAAGGGCAGTGTCGGCAACGCTCACCATCCTGTAGCCGAAGTAGTCGCCACAAAAGACCTCAGAGCAGATTCCCGGGCAGTCTACTGCAACACCCAACAAATTGACAAAGGCGATGTTGTTAATGCTGTCTAGGGTCTCTGAGCCCCTCCTGCTCGAGGACATCCAACGCAAACCGCCCCATGCCAAAGCCAGCATTTCCGGCCCCGTAGCGAAACAAGCGGAACACGTGCCTTGCAGGTGATGCTTTCCGTGCATTGGTACCCCAGGGTATGCTTTACAAAGCAGAAGCTGTGATGGGATCACTCGGTGAAGCCCAAGATGCCCCAACACTGGGAGCCATCCACCTGCAGAGGAAGACAGAGCAAGCGGTTGCAAGTAGCACCATCGCAATAGGTTCGTTTCCCCCGACAGCAAAACGACTCTCTTCTAAGTGGCCAGAAAATACATTAGCGCGGCCATCGCAACCCCCGTATGGGTAAGTTGCAGAATGTTGAAGATATCTCATTATGCAGGGCTAGCTCCTGATTTCCAGTTAGTGCCCCGACGAGTCTGTTCAGATCCTCTTGCATTGCAGCTGCTCTCAGAATTGCAGCCCGCAACAAGCAGCACTCACTCCAGGCATACCTTCTTCATGACAAACTGGTTCTCAAACTCAAAACTAGCTTGCAGGTCAGGGCACTTGCCACATGAACGAACGGCAACATTTTGGCTCCTGGGCCTATGAGGCCTCAACCCACAACATCCTGCAAGGGACAAAGATCACAGCTGGAACCTCCAATACCCTGATTCCAGATTGCCTTCAGCGTTCCCTTGAAACCGCAACCCTTTCTTATTTGCTGTCCTGAGTCAAGGCATTCTTATAAATAAGGTCATACCACTTTCGGATCTTTCGGGTAAGTTTGAGAAGCCTTGAACTTAGAGTCACCAGAATCTCCTTCGTGGAAAATAAGCATTCCCAGAATTCGCCCCAAGCGTTCGCTGCGCAAAGGCCTGCCATGGGCACGGCTTCTCCCGGAGACGCTCGGCGTGCCGCGGCCCGGCGGGCTGCACGCCGCACAGCCTCCAAGAATGAGGTCACCTGAGCGGCAGAATTTCTGATTCCTCGCATCGAGCGCAGGTTTTGGCTGATTCCGTCCAAGCTGTGGGGTGTGGTTTGAGGTAAGGCACTGGGAGTCCATTGAAGTTCTGGATGCGTGCTAGAAGCTCCGACTTTATCACTTTCCCCTGAGATATGCCCCTATGGGGAAAAACTCTGGAAGCTAAATCTTGAAAGAATACTTTAACGGGGTTGGCTACTTTTGAAAGTAGCTCATTCTTGGGGGGGAGGGCTATCATGAATCGTGTGTATACGGTATAAGCGATTATAGTGACTCACTCATTTCAAGTTTATAAAAGAATATGTATATCGGAAACATCAGGAGATTTGATTAGGATGAGGGATTTGTTGATTTCCCTGAGTGTTATCAACTTCAAAATCGCTTTATATGAAGAGCTGAAAGGAAATCTAGTCGGAAGGAAACAGGATGCAAATCATGTAGGTCTCAAAATAAAGCTTGAAAGGAAAATCTAATACTGGACGGTTTGTTGGGCCCTGATCAGTTACCTTTTGGTGGGGGGTGTCACGTTACTAGCGCTGGGAGGTTAGTAGCCACATCGCGCCTGAAAGCATGACATGAGGTACCGGTTAGCACAAAACAGCATGCGTGGTGCTGCGAGGGTTCCATCGGTAACGCGAAGCAATACTGGGCCCCACGCTCCCAAAACGAGGGCACCCACCACCAAAACACGCCCTGACGAGACGGCTAAACACGTCGATCGCCCCTGCGGCTCCGCCATTGCAGACCAGTTTGCACGAGGTGTGACCACTGCTTGGAGACTTTGCTAAAGCTGCAGTCACAAAGCAACAATCGCATCAGCCGTTCATGTGAACTGAGTTGATATCCGTCAAAAGATCTAGGTTGGAAAGACGGATCCACTCGATATCCAGGTGTGCGGTCTGTGCATACTGAACCCTCCAACTGGGCGAACAGAGAAGCAGTGGCTGAACCGCCCATGACTTGCCTGTAGCTGCAATCGAGGATTTTCTTACTTGCTGGCAAGGAGTCTTTAACAAGCGGTCACGGTCCTCTGGCTTTACTCAGCAAACTTGAGCGCAGACTCCCTGCCATGAGTGACAGCCTCTAGGTGCTCCTGGAAATTTGGAAGCTTATCGAAGAGGCTCCCCCCAGCCTGGACATGAGAAAGCATTCTGCCTTCTGTTTTCTGGATGGCCTCAGCTTTGGATAGCCACATTTGAAGCTCTCTCTCAGAGCACACAACGATGCCGTCATCATCTCCAATGACATAGTCACCAGGCTGCACAGTTACTCCACACAGCTGAACGTCCACCTGGGTCCTGCCGCGTCTGTTTGCAGTCCCAGCATTGGGATGCTGCCCGCGGCAATACACCGGCAAGGCCATTTGAAGCAGCAAAGGGGCATCACGACAGTTGCCATCGATGACCATGCCTTTGACACCTTTTCGCGCTGCCTCGTTGGCAATAAGCTCGCCAAACATGCCACCTGCCCTCGGCCATGCGCCATCTTCGGCACCGCCTCGCATGCTAGCATCGATCACGATAACCTCGCCAGGGGCTGCATCGTTCACGGCAGCAAGAACTTCCAGGAAGTCTCCGTCGATGGCGACTGTCCGAGCGCGTCCCACCATATGGTACCCAGGCTTCAGAGGCCTCAGCCCATACAGGACCCTGGCCTTCTTCCCGCTGGCATCGCACAGCGCGCAGGTGTCCATGCTGGTCAAGCGGGATGGGAGATCCTGCGTGCTGAAGCATCGAGCCGGGCTGGAGACGCTGCACATGCCTGCCATGGCAACAGTGCCTCCAACCAACACCCTCCGAAAACCTGGGCGGCCCATCGCAGAAGCCTCGCAACAAGATGACATGAGAGCGAGGCACCCAAACTCAACATGCTCAGCCGCCGAGTGTTAAGCAGGGGCTGTTCTGTGGCACAAGAACAGGCGGTCCGTTTACGTAAAGCCCCGGCCTTGAAAACGTGGCTGGGCACACGGCAAAGGTTGAAAGGCAACATGGACAGGATGAGCTTGGGGCCTATGCTGTACAGAGTAATTGATGCTATTGGCGAGTTCCAAAGCTGGAGGGTTTGGATGATAGCTCGCCATTTCTTGCGTGGTGTTGGCATCTTGCTATGAATTTGCGTGCTACGCTGCAGATGGAAAGGCCGGCAATAAGCCACCACATTCAGATCACGATGCGCATCCGCAGTGCCTGTGCCTTCAACTCTCACAATCCGCATCGTTCAGGCATCATGCGCGACAGTATCAGAAAGGTACATCGATGCAATGTACAACTTGGCGTCGCTGCTATGGTCAAGCACGAAGCAAAAGATAAGAGCGGAGCAGAGACGACAAACGGCCGCCAACCTCCAACTGCCCGAAAAAACGCATCCAAACACGTGGCCAAAGAGGCAGAAATCATGGAATGCAGGCCCCTGCTTCAAAGCTTGTTCTGCAGCTACCGAGGCCAGCCTTCAGTACGAAACAGCACCCCCACAGCTCCTGCTGAGCGCGCCTCCCCAGCTGCCAGCATCAGCAACGGCCAGCATGGGGGAAGCTCCTGCAAAGATATGCTAATTCATGAGGTCTGCATGCGAAGATTGCAATTGCCCGTGAAGGGGCTGGCCACGACATTCACATACCGGCCTTCTGTTGACTCAGCGGCAGGTCGCCGGCGAATGCAGGCACCTGGCAAAACAGACCAGGATTACTTGATGCCTCCTTGTTTGCAGCCAAACATCCACACACACACACACACATGGTTTGTCCGGCTACACCAAGAGCGCCACAGGCGCCTGGAAGCTCTTGCACAGCCCCGAACCTGAATAGAAGTTAAGTTCAGAGGCAAGGTCCTTGAAGCTGCGAAAGAGTGGATGAAATTTGGCACCACGAGCTACAAGGTGCTGCTGCATTACTCGATGAGCAGTTCCACGATTAAACGCAATTTGGCTGCAATTGCATTAGGTCGCCTCTTGAACGCCAAACATGGGCCGATGTTCTGACAAGACCCCTAAGGGGGGGTTCCCCCCAAAAAAAGGATCCGGGTGCCCACATCAATTGCCCCCATTTGGACAATACTCCATGCATAATCCCACCGACACATTCATACACCATAAAAAAATCATAATCCCACATGAAAATATTTACACCCCATTGTTTATCCTGGGCAAAATCCCATAGCCAGGTCTGGGGTCCGGGCAGCGCAGCTGCACCTCGTAAGCAATCTTCTTCTGTGTGAGGATTCTCATATTGTAAGGGTTATGTGAGGGACGATGAGGTTATATGGGGAGAATGGGTTATGGGTGGGGGTGATATGTGAGTGGGAGTTTGCCTGGAACACTTCTGAATGTACAGTTTGCTTAGGAGGACCCCCCACCCAGTAATAGTGGCCATAAGGGATAATAGGGATTCTGTTAGGGTCCTATTATATTCCTATTTCAGTATACCACTATTACAGGGTGGGGGGGTCCTCCTAACAGTTTGCCGTCATGCACCTCAAAAGTCTGAGATGCTCATTGCAGATCCGTTTTGAGAAAGGCCCCCCCTTTGTTCTTGTTTCTGTGCTTATCAGCACAATTACTTAATTACTAGCAGCCAGCAGCTACTTAATTACTAGCAGCAGCTGATGAGGAGGGATTGCTTGTCATGAGGTCTTTGCTTGGATTCTTGAGTGAGAAGCCACGCTGTCTCCTGCAAGTGCAAGCTCAAGCCAGGCCTCGAAATCGTGCTCCAACAGCAGGAACCGACCCGCGCCACTGTCATCCGCCCAAATTCCTCAGAGTCCACTGAGCTCTGGACACTTGGAAGCCAATAGGTCAGCCCCATGCAGTCATGCCCCACGCTATGCATGCCAAGCGAACCTGCAACTGTACTTGCCCGTTATTGCCTATGTCGGGTACTTCAGCCTTCAGCCAGGAGTCCAGGAGTGTTTGGCTATTGGCCACTCATTGTTCAACATGCGCTTGCATGACTGCATCACACAAAATCCCAACAACTCCAGAAACAAGCGATGAAAGCTGCGAGAACAACGCTAGCCCCGGGGCGCGCATGACCACCTTTTTGGAAGCGATGCTCAAGCCTCGAATTCAAGCCGCCAAGCATTGGTGAATTACGAGGGGAGCCACGCAACATGGACTTCTTCCGTAGCTCTCATCCTGCTGTATCTGAAAGCAGATGCGGGGCCTGGGCCTTTGCTTCAACTTGGACTTCAGACAATACCTACTTATGCTAAGCAAAGGAAAACTTGACATGGATGCTTGCGGGGAGGCTTTTGACCACTCCTCAAGCTGCTACAGTCCCAAGCAAGCTGGCTCCCACCAAAAAACAACTGCAATCAACTGCTGAAGACGAGGATGACGGCATTTGCTGTTGACTCTTCGTAAAGTTTGCAAGGCGCGTTCAATTCACTGCCATTATAGTCATCATTGTTGCTCATCGCTTGATGCTGGACTCACACTCTCATGTCTGGCAACTATTAGTATTACTATTGCTATTATTAGTACGTACGATTCCTCGCTCCTGCGTGTAATGCATGATAAGACAGTATATTGGGAAATGGAAAATAAAATGGACACTACTCTAGTCTAATAGTATAATGAATGGGGTATATATTGGGGGGATAGGCTTACCCGGGTTTCTAAGAACTTTTGGTTCGAAGCTGTATGTCTCTATGTCTTGATGATGCATACCGACAAGGGCTGCTGAGTGCGTCATGGCTTTAAGCATGACTAGCAAAAATGAATCTCTTCCTTCTGCATGCTGCAATAGGAGGATTTCACTGACTGTTGCAACGCCATGCATCTGCTGGCATACTACTTAGGAGCCGCCTTGGTACAATCAGAAAAACGACTTCAGCATACCTCTACAGATGTTGATGGCTGCTCTTTTGTTGTGGGGGCTATACTTCCGGGCCCGAGAGCTATCATAAATTACCATCATTCCGGCACCGCATGCCCCTTTCAGACGTCAGCATCTCACCTTCCAGGTCCAAGGCTGTTGCTTTGGGGTATAAGACACCCCACCCCCTCTCCTGTGTAATAGTGGGACAACGTAGGACATTCAAGAAGATGAGGTGTAGGGATACTCCATATAAGGAGGTGGCAGTTTTGCAGTTGTTAGGATCGCGAAGGCAAGAGAATCAACGAAATCTCCTGCCTCTCACGCTGCTAGTACGACAGCAAGTACTGTACCATCAATGGCATTCTGGCAACAATCATCAAGAATGCAAAAAAAACCACAGTGCTGCCAAAAGGATGGAAGCAAGCCCTCTCAACCCAATGCGGGGAAAGGATCATCATAATCAACTGGCAAATTGACCGGAAGCCTGTAGCCCTAGATAACCTCAATGTCACCTCTGCACCGCCGATTTCCGACACGTGCCGCTTGGCCACGCCGACGCTGCAGGCGTGGACCTGGCCCGAAGGTGTTCTTGGACGCGGGGGTTGGGGGTGTGTGGATTGGGATAAAATGAAGCGTCAAAAAAGTGTATGGGACTATTGCGAGGATTACAGAAGCTTGCCAAGGACTGATGCCATAGAACGCATGATGTGGTACAAAGGTTCTGCCGTTTCTGCTGTGGGAGCGTTGATCAAAGAGCATGAGTAAAGCGCATAGCCTATACCGTTAATGCATCAAAGCCTGGGTACTTTTGTGATCCGAAACTCGCACCAGACACAGGCGTTGGGCGGCGTTGCTCACACGACCGAGTTTGCGAAGAGGCCCCAAACCGTGATCTGTGCTTTTATGTATTTGGCCGTGTCTCGCGCTCGCAGCATTGCCAATTCCAGGCGAAATACAAAACCCTAGCTGCAACATCTGCCAGCTGGGCTGTGATTTAGAAATAGAGCAAGTCATCTCAGTTGCTTGGCAGAGTAGGAAGCAACGTTTATGATCCCAAGGCTCGGTCTTGATCGCAAGGTGATAGCAGCAGAAGCATCAGCAGCAATGCAAGGAGCAGCGGCTGCAGAAGTGCCGCAGACCAACTCCTGTTTGTTGGCCATATTCGATGTTCTGTTGCGGGGCCTTCTGGACGCGCAGCCAACCCTTGAGCAATTAATTGTGAAAAGGAGCCCCTAATAGCCCCTACTTTCCCTGCAGCCCTTGATGCTACCAAGGGAACCCGAATTTCAAGAAGCTCCCCTAATTGAAGTCAACACAGTCACTACATGGCACTGAATGCCACCCAAAAGCTCTGGTCCTGATTGCCGACCGCGCGCCAAGATGCTTTTCAGAATCTGTCCAGAAGAGTTCCCGGCAACTTCCCAGCCCCCTAATCAAATCCTTTTTTGCATCTGGTCTAATCAAATCCTAAATGGCAGTGAGTCGAAACCCCGTGCCCGATGGCTCGCGCGGACAAGCCTCTGTTACATACCCTTGAAACGCGGGGCTTGTTACATACCCCTTGTCGTGCGTTGTCGCGCGGCTATAAGAGACTTAGAATTTGAGGGCTTGTCGCTCCAGGCGCGCACCTGTTACATACCCCCTGTAACGGGGTATGTCGCGTGTGTGGGCCCCGGCCTTGTTACGAGCTTTTGGTTTTGACCCGCTCCCAAATCCTGAAACCTAGAACCACGCCCATCCCCTTTAACCCCACCAAGCCTTAGAAGCGAAGCGCAGCGAGGAAAGAGTCTCGCCCAAGTGCTCCTGGCAAGCACAGATTGAGGGCTTCTCAACATGCTGGGCCCCTCTTGGGGGTACTTTTTGTGGGAATGTACTGGGAAATTTCTAGGGGCGTATGGCACTTGAACTTTTATCCCCAGGATATGCCAGTATGGTTTGTTGGGTTTCTTTGCCACTGGGGCTTCTTGTCAACGCGCTCATCGCGCTGCAGAGTTTAGGGTTTGGGGTACAGGCAGGCATTGCAGGAACCGCAACACCATAACAAAGATCCGCATTCAGTTTGAGAGCCCTTTTGGGAGGAGCCTCTCTCTTGGATTCTCGTGCGTAGCCACAGGCGACCCACCACTCCGACCAGCACTACAGTACTGCCGACTGGGAAGTCGGCACACGCAAGGGGAAGGGGGGAAGACGTCTCAAACAAGACCGCTACTTCACAGTCCTGCAGCGGCGACACGTTCACGAACCTGAGGTCACCGACCCAATGCCAAGATGGAACCGGCATGGTGCTGTCAATATGTTGCAACCATTAAAAGCCTAATAGTACCTCTGACAGCACGCATCAACAACTTTAAGATACCTTCGGATTGCTGGCACTTGTGTCCGCTGGCAGAATGTGGACAGGAGTCCACGCCCAAGGGAACGGGGCTTGCCTGTCCTAGCAGGTCCTGCCACACTTGCATGGGCAAGTGAACCTAAGCAGCCTAATACAACATGCCCTGATCCCTTCAGCTCTGGGGGCCACACATCAGCGTCTTGGAATCTCCACCAAGCGAGTCCTTGGCAGATGCGGAGTCATTAGAAGCCCATTTTTTTCGGCTTTGGACTGTAGCAGTACTGTAGCCGCAGGATGTGATACTGCAGGTCACACAAACACCCGGTCAACACCCTTCAGGGTTAACGCGTACTTTACCAAGCATCTCTCAAGAGCATCGTCAGTCGCGAGTTTCGGTACCTCAGCAACATTGCTGCTTCGCGCATGTCACGGTCTAAAGACGTCCATGCGTGTCCATGCGGGATCCTGCATGCGCTTCCCTAGCTCCCTAAACTTTGCCTCCTGACTTAGTCTAGCCGGATTCAGAATCGAGCACGCATAAAATCGGACTAGCCGTCAACTTCGACAAGGGCTGGGGCACTGCTTTTTAAAACGCGGCCAAACGTGTTTGCGGGCTCCCTACACGTGGGCCGGCAGGCAGTGCCGAACTTCAAAGGAGGTCCCTGACCTTTCCTCCCTGACCCTTTGAGGATCCGAGCTTGCCTCCACTTATAGCATACAGTACATTATAGTATACATAGTCTATTGTAGTATAGCATGGCATATTATCGTACATTGCTGTTGTGCGTTCGGGAGGACCAATCTATACTGCTCGGATCGTCTCAGAAGTCTAGGCTAGCAGCTGTCTCTTCCCCCGGTGAGGTGGCATGGCTATGTAAAGCTCTGGCAATGTGGCTGAATTTCAAATCCTCCTAAACCTGGCTAGGACATGCTAAGACCATACCAACAAGCCAGGAGGTGGATGGGTTCAGAGTTGCAGCTGCTCACATGCTTTGCAGGGCTACTACACGAATGTCAGTAACTGAGCAATGGGACAGCTTAGCCGAGCCCTGGCTCAAATCACTTGCTCGAGGCTAAAATTTGTGACATTAGATCCTTCCAGCTCGATTGAAAGACGCTGTGCCAACATAGCTTGTCGTACGCCCTTGGGGGCAGGGAGCTTGGCCTGAGCACCGGGTCTCAAGCGTGCCCAGCATCAACCTCAGGCTGCAAAACTCAAGTTAGAGGGCGGGCTAGTACATGAGGAACACAATCAACCTGGGGAAGACGGCTTCACTTGACACACATCTGCATCTTCAAGGAGCATTCATGAAGTAGTGCTGGAACTCGCTGAAAGATATCACGCCATTGTGGTCGAGGTCAAGCTCTTCTACCATTTCCTGTACATGCCCAGCGCATGATGGCAAGGCATGTAATAATTGAGACTGCACGTGTCCTAGCATCTACATCATTCCGAAGGTGACATAGAATGATGGTTATTACGTAATCCTAAACCCTATCTACAAACTGTAAAACCCGTCTGCCTGCACCGTCTTGGTCTTTGGCAGATGGGTCTCCTCGATCTGGCCGCTCTGGAGAAGCTGCGCAATTTCTGATCCTGACATGCGTGGCTTTGGCTTTAGAACCGCTAGGCACTTTAGACAGAAAAGAGATCCCACGCCATCAAGGCATGCATGAATATGCTGTAGTGCACGTATATGGCCATACATACATGTTGAAAGTCATGCGTCTTCACCGTGAGGTTAATCATAGGCCAGCACATTACCGGCCCCAGCTTTTATGCCCTGACGCCTTTCTTTACCTCGAGCATTTCCTTCTGACTATCTTTGAAAGACCTCACAAGCTAGCTTCGAATAAGGGAGGCCAACATCGACCACAACACGTTGTAATCCGTTTTGCATATCACCCCTATATCTGTCTTTCTCTCTCACCCTCTCATATATATATATACACAGAAAGATAGATACATAGAGCCCAAGTTCCCTTGAAACGGGCCCCTCATTTCAGGCAGATCTCGATCGAGTGTTCCGTCTGAATTGGTGTCGAAGCTGTGGAACGCCATCTGCCTCGGCTTGCTGCCACTTCTACAATTTCCGCTATTATTACTATTTACTATTAATACTGTTAGTGGTGTCACTAGTGTTTCTGTTTTCATAAGAGAATATTTAACATTATGGGGGAGGGGGGCTTTCATATTAGGGGGGGGTGCGCCGCGCGATTAACTTACCGTACTATGGGTCCCTTTGGAGGTGGGTGTGGGGATGCTCTAGGGCTTTATAGATCATGCTTGGGGCTTAGTCAGCCACCGTAGTTGAGAATCACATGGAAAAGATCATGCAACATGAAATGGAAACTGGGCACATATTGAGGTTTGTATAAGGTTTGTGTAAGCGTTGTGTAGGGATGTATGGGATTGCTGTCACGGACCTTAATTTAACTTAAACCATCATTTTTGGGAATCCATGTTCTGCGCGATATATCTGCTTTTATGGTTGTTCTTCAAAAGTGAGTGAGTGTAAGAACTGTCATAAGGGTATGATACCCTAAGCCCTAAAGCAATGGGAATGTATCTTCTGGGGGCATGGTAGGGTTTTAATACTAGAGGGAGCACCCCCCCCCCCCACCACCGCCAGGTTTAGAGTTCAATTAAGGTTTAGGGTCCCCCCCAATCTGAAGAACAAATCGAAAGACCCTTTGGCCGAGGGTTTAGTAACAGCTTAGCAGCTTAGCAATATGCTACAAGTAGTTTCCATGAAGTGGGGTTGGCTAACATAAAGATCCGACCCCAATACACTGTAAGCCTGATTCTGCGGACCCTTTCGAAAAAGAGCCCACATTTTGGAAACCCCACATCTTCTCCCTGCGACTGCGGGACGCCCTAAACTCTGAACTCTAAACCCTAAACCCACAAGCACAAGCTCAGAATTAATAGAAACTGTCTAGGGCCCAAAAGCAAAACACCAAACTCCGCTGAAAACCCGCCCAAAACTCGTGACCTGAACCCTCTACAATTTCTATAAACCTAAGCCCAATTACCCTAAACTGAAAATGCATCTCAGATGCAGCGACACTGCAAACAGCTCTCGGGCCGACGGCAAGCATGTCGCCACGAATTCGCTGAACTCAATCAGGCCATCCTTGAAATGACAGTTTCTCAAAACCATGGGTACCCTTCCCGGGGTCCCTCAAATACGGATGAGAACATTTTAGGGTCTGTGTAGGGGTCTCCTCAATTGTAGAAAGTTGTAAGTTAAGCCCGTGTGATGCACAGCAATGCCCACGCGCCTCTCTCACTGTTGCTTCAAAACCCGACTGCGCATCGTGGGCTTGTGGGATTCTATGACCGCAGCATTCCGAGCAACACAGCCAGGCATTTTATGACTCTTGCAGACCTCCGCCGCTGGGACTGTGTTGGAATGCTGCGGTGTTGCTTTTGCTCAAGATGTCATTACCTTTCTGGTGCTTAACGAGGAATCACGGAGTCAACAAGCATACTATCAGAAGAGTCAAAAGGCCAGAGGGACTGTAAGCTGCCTGCAGTCACTCACCCACATTCAGGGTTTAGGGACCCTTGGATTTATATAGGCGGGGATCTAATGTTTGGCTCCTTCTAGGACTCTGCGTAATTCACCGTCCTATCCTCTTACCCACTGGTCAATGAGCACTGTAAGGATCCAGCCTCCCAGTCCTTAAGCCCAAATGTGAAGTAAACCGTAAACCCCAAAACCCAAATAGTGATCTCCACTTTCTTTACGTGCCCGTCTTCCCAAAGAAGCATGACCCAAACCCGCCAAACCCCCAACTAGGTAACACAACGGCCCAAACTTGCGGGTCAAGGTATACGTTCCCGGTTTCCATTTAATGTTCCATAGTCTTTTCCATTGCATTCTCAAGTTATGGGGGGAAGTTTTCCCAACCCCTATACAATGCCTGTATAATCCTTATATATCCCTATAAAACCCCATCTAATCGAAATGAAACCCTATATAGCCCTATGTAAACCCAATATAACGCTATAGGGGATCAGGGAGTAGTAGGTCCAGGGTCTCCGTCAAAGTCAGCCCCATCTGCTGCGCTTTGCGCGAGTTCTGGGCTGACCTGCCAGGACACCCCAACTACTGAAGTAGTGCTTAAGGCGTGTTAAAAGCATCCTGTCGGCCAGGGTTTACGGAGTTTAGGGGCTCAGGGCTTAGGGTGTAGGAGCCTAAACTGGGAGTTATAAGATAGGGGCTTTATACAGGTGGTATATCGGGCAGATATGGCGATATTACCCCAGTACTGGAGAATGAATCCACTACTGAGGTAGGTGCTCCTGTAGCCCAAGATCCCTGACACGGCCGTCACCCAACCCCAAAGCATGCCCCCAAAACCCCCCCCCTTCCCCTAACATCTGCTCTCATTATGCGGTATGTTATATAATACTTAGAAGATAAGTATTTGATATGGCCCCCCCCCTGACGGGGGGGGGGTGGGGGGGGTTCCCGAAAAGTGGTCTGGACCATTTTCTTGAAAAGTGACCCCTTGGGGGGGTGGTACCACGGTGCCCTGATGAAGCTGCACAGTCACGCAATGCATCAGCAATCTGTTTTCCAGCCATCGCCCCGTCACAGCTGAGATCAATGTGTGGCACGCTCCACAACAAACATCAACAAACAAACGTTACCTGATTTGCGTTTGCTATCGTTTGCTCTTGCAAATGTATGCTAGCGAATGCGCATGACCGTGCCCTAAACTCCCGGGAGTGAAACCGGCTCCACTGTAGCAGATTCAACCCTAGCCAAGAATTGGCGCACTTGTTCAGTCGAAACCTTTCCTTGGATGCAGCAACAAAGGATAGGGAACGCGAGCATTAAAACTCGCAGCATGCATGCCACCACATTCCGTCCCACATGCATCCCAGCTTCGAGGCACTGGGATCAAAGGCATCAAATGCCCATATACGGCCTTCCATCACTATGGAATACATGATTGGACGGCC